TATTTTGTAACATCAACACAAAATAGATTAAGACAATAGCTTACTTGAAATTGAATTCTGTTATATAGTCTTGAAATTGGATTCTGTTTCTTGGATTATAGGAAGCAGTGTCTGAGCAGAGGGAAACTGGTTTCTAGCTTAACAAGAATATTTATCCAGGATTTCTTAGGGTAGAATTCATGAGAGGCAATACTATGTGCTTATCTTAGATGCTTGGTATTAATCAGCAAAAGAACTAAAGATTCTTGCTCATCTGGAACTTCCATTCTATAAGGAGGCATTAAACAATAAACATCAGACATAATAAATAAACGATACTGCATCTGTGAAAGTGATGGGGGTATGGCAAACAGAAAGCAAAGGAGGGCAAGGAAGTGTGTAAGGAGGCACTAGGACACCTGACTACATTTCAATTACGGTGCTAAGCATAGATCTCATTAAAGACAATATTTGAGCAAGGCTTTGGAGAAATAGAGTTTTTCATAATGATATTGAAGAAACAGCACTTTGTGCAAGGCTCTTAGGAATATGCTAACATGCTGTAGGAAAGGCAAGCAAGGAAGTACGGCTGGAGCAGGACGAGCAAGCACATGAGTGCCGTGCAGCCAACAGAGTACTTGATCAAATAACTTCGCTGGTTTAAGTTCTTTGTTAGGATTCTGACTTTCCTGAATAGGAGGAAAAGACCCAGGATTATGAGTAGAGTAAAATCTGATTGATCATAAGACTACATTATTGTAATTATCATACATTGAATAGGCATAAAGAGGTAGAACAGGGGGAATTAGAAGCCACTGTAATTGTAATAATTCAGTTATGTGATAAAAAATGGTGGCTTGTCCCTGTGGAAATTGCACAGATGATGAGAAACTCAGACTCTGGATCTATTTGGATAATGGCATTAAGGTTTTTGTATGATATGAGATATAAGAGACATGGAAATTTTGAGGAAGATTCGAATGACTTGTGAAACTGTGAGAATGGGATTGCTATCAAGATGGGATGAGCAGAGATACAGATGCAATAGGTTCAAAAGGCTAAGGGCAAAATCATGATGTCAGTTGTAAATACATTAATTGTGAAATATCGAGTTAGAAGTTCATTTCAGAAATCTAATGGAGAGAGAGAAAGAGAGAGAGAGAGAAAGAGAGATCTGGAGATGCATCTACAGTGGATATATAAATTTCAGAGTCGATGACATATAAATCACATTGAAGCCAGAAGGATGGATGGGGCTGCAGAGATAGCTCAGTGGTAAAGAGCACAGGCTAAGTAATCAATCTGACTGGAGTTTAGATGCCGGCACCTATGTAACAAACTGAGAGTACTGCAATGGCCTGATAATTCCAGGTCTGAAGATCCCATGCTTTCTTCTGGTTTCTGCATGTACCCTCACACATTTATGAATCTCTCTCTCTCTCTCTCTCTCTCTCTCTCTCTCACACACACACACACACACACACACACACACACACCAACAGACAAATAAAATAAATCTAATAAACATTACTAGTTTGGGAAGAGGATGAGAAACAGGGGGGTTAGGGAGGACCAGAGAGGAGAATGAGGATTGATTGTGATCAGAATATATTATATACATGTATGAAAATAGCATAAAGAAATCTATTATTATATATAATTAACATGTCCTAATAAAAAGTATTAAAGAATGAAAATAAGGCTGGATGGTATTATTAAGAGAGGAGACAAAGAACTGCCTGTTCTTTGAACAGACCAAGAAGTAACTGTTCAAATGTTTCACGTGAAGAATGACTGGTGAGGGAAAGTCACTGTGGCACAAAAGAAATATGAGGCAAATGAAGACAAAGTTAAGATCTCCAAGCTGGCAAGGAATTACACAAAGGAGGAAGGGGTAATCAAATGTGCCTGATCCTTCTAATGGCTGAAGTTACATAAGGACTCAGATTTCACTGGTGTATTAAATAATCCACACATCATGGGTGGAAGAGGCTGAGAAGCCTGACTGACAAAGAAGAAAAATAATAAGATAGTAAGAACAACCACTTTGAGAAGAACCACTTCAGTGGTAAGAGAATATAAAGAACTAGTTACATAGCTGGGCATGGTGGCGCACACCTGTAGTCCCAGCACTTGGGAGGCAGAGGCAGGCAGATCTCTGTGACTTCAAGGCCAGCCTTGTCTACATAATGAGTTCCAGGCCAGCTGGGAGACCCTGTTTCAAAAAGACCCAGAAAAAAAAAGAACTGGTTACATGTAAGAGAATACAGAGAAGAAATATTATTTTAGTAATTAAATAGCTAAGTGCATGTTTGTATGATGAAAGGAATAATTTAGTGAGATCAAAAAATGATTATGCAGAAGATGGAAGAACTGTTGAGTTAGTGTCCATCTGGTTACCAAGTGGCAAGACACACTAGATAGGATTGATCCAGATACTTTTTTTGTTTCTGTGAGAAAGTGCTGACCAAAACAACTCAGGGAGGAAAACATTTGTTTACACTTAAAAGGCATAGTCCATCACCGAGGGAAATCAGGTAGGAGCTCAAGGCAGGAACCTGGAGGCAGGAACTGAAGCAGGGACCACTGAGGAACGCTGCTTACTGGCTCAGTCCTCTGGCCTCTGCTCATCCTACTTTCTTATATAACCCAGGACCAACTGCCCAGGGGTGGCACCATCCACAGTGGGCTGGGCCCACCCATATCACTCAACAATCAAGAAAATGCCTCACAGACATACCCATAGGCCAGTCTGATAGAGGAAATTCCCAACTGAACTTCCTTCTTCTCAGGTGTGTCAAATTGGCAACCAAAGCTAACCAAGACAAGGATGATGATTCATTATGGTAAATGTGGAGAGGAGACTAGTGCCGGTGCCAAGTGGGTAGAGGTGGTGATGAGAATCTGTGAAAATGCTCTTCTCATTACTAAAGTTGCTTAGTAAGATATTAAGAGGGGGAGGTGGTAGAGGATGGAGGAGAAGGCAGAGCAAAATCATGGTCTAGGAGAATAGGGATGTTTCTGGAGACTATCATGTAGCATGATTAGAAGTCACCATAGGCTCATTTGAGGTTTGTGGCCAAGAATTTAACCCTGTCAGCATGGTCATGTGTTTTCTTCAATCATGTACTTTAATAGGCACAGGCACACAAAGGCTGAGAATTTTGCTTTACCAATATACTGGATTACAAAATCATTCACTAGAATTAAGAATGGTAACAGAGTGGAAAGTGTGTGAAAAGCATGGATTACCCCAGGGATGGTATCACTGGGGTCAGAGACTGAGGAGTTGAAAGCACTGAGAGACTGGGATGATGATAGTTCACATATTTTCATATTGAAATCACCAAAAATCCATACACCAATACTAATATGGTGACAATGAGCTAGGAGTTGCATATTGTTGGAAACAAGGAAAAAGAAGCAAGAAAAGCATCAGCAAAAACAAAAGACAACACTAAGGAACAAACGAACATTGATTGTCACCATCAGATTCATGATGGGTGAATTTTAGAGACGTGTCAGAAAACAGTTCGAAATTAGCAATAAGGACCATAGTTAGTGGTACTTAAAATTTGGAAGAGAGAAAGGAAGGGAAAAAAGAAAACAGACATCAGATAGGAGTGTTATAAGAGAACTAGGGTCTGTAAGGAGGGGACTCTTCCTACATGAAAAGACGAGAGAAAAATTCAGAGAAGGCAGAATTGGGTTGACTGAGAAAAATGAGAAGAATACATGAAAAGGACAGGAGATGGACAGGAGCCCGTCACTTCAGAGACTCTTACGCTGATTGACTTGAACAAAAATAAAATCAGAATGAAGTTAGCTCTATTCAAAATACAGAATATGTAAGTGAACAGGATGAGCCTGTGTGTGAGTTCTTTCCTGTTTTTCATAGAGTTAAGAAGATTTGAGGACAGGATACTGGGCCTTATCAGTTTGTGCATCCCCTTGGTGTTTAGGGAAGAGAATAGACACAGTACAAGATTTGACCTTACTGGGGGGAAAATTTACTTCAAGTGTCAGGCTAAGCCTTCCAACCTGTTGAAGAAATGGAGACTTCCAGAAAAGTCAGTTGTATTCATAATATGTGAAAACTGGAGCAATGCTACAGCACTTACCTCCGAGCCTATCTTAACAGCAGGAAGCCCAATATTTGTCATTTACATAGGCATCCCATCCATTTCAGATCAGAAATACAGGCTCCCTAGTCTTTAGAAAGCTAGCTAAATCACAAGGGATTAAACTACTAACCAGATAAAAAGAATGTTTTTCATGGAACAAAATCATACTATGTGTAAGTGAATGGGATTAAGTAATCTGTTAAGTAGCTTCATCAACTTTCCAGAAGGTTATTGTTCGGTTATCTAATCATCCTTCACCCATCTATCTAAGTATCCAATTTAGTACATCTTAGCTTTTAGTCCAGACCTTGCAAAGTAATGGTAAACTAATTGTGTGAGGAAAAGAAAACAAGAATAAAAGTATTATATATACATAGACATATATATATATGATGTTTATTATGATGTCAGAATTTTCCCCTAAAGTATGTACCAAAAGGGCACACATCTTAGTTATCCACTTGTTGAGGTTATCTGAAATCAGTCTTTCAATACTTAATATTCTGTTAGCTCGATTCTAAAGCCATTCCATCCACAATGTGGGAGCCATCACAGGAGAGTGAAGTTGCTATAGCAACTCTAACAAGGTTCTTGATATTCACTGCCTTTGAGTATGGTGTCTTCTGTGTTCCTGTGTAGAACCTATTTCAGTAGCATTTAGTTGGATTAATTCTGTCATGACTTTTGTGGCAATAAGACTGCATTTTTTTTTTTCCACAGCAGACAGCTGCTCTGACATCTACAGAGTATGTAACCAAGAGCACGTCTGGGTTCTCACCATCTATGAGGGGGATTCCTGCACTGCTCACTATGCCCAACATCAATATGCCAGACTATGCTGCTACTCCACGGCCAGACTATAATACAGTGTAACCAGTTATTTAAAAATATACTCACTGCTACTTGGTGGCAAAAATAATCCATTGATATTTCGAGGTTTGCTGTGGTAAAAGATACAACTGATCTTCACACAACCAAGAGGTTGAGTTTCCCAGAAACACGAAATGCTGCAGTTTTGCTAGACAAAAGGAAGTGGGAGAAAATATGTTTAGATGCAATAAAAGTAGTAAGTTGCAATGCAGTACAACGCGATAAGGATAACTGCAGTTGCTGACAGGATCATTGAGATTTTCTAGGTTTATCATCTGTAAGCTCTTTTAAAACATATTCTTTCATTTTTCTAAGAATTTAATATGAACAAAGTGAAACACATCAAAATTAGTGGGAGAATTCTTTCCTATTCTGTTGTAAAAGTATAATTCAGCGATGAAGGAAGATTCTTTTGGCAAAAATTATACAGAGTCATTTTACCTGCATTTCCATGTGTCTAAACCTGCAAAGTGGATCTAAACATTTTCTATCTCTCCATAATGAGCACACAGTGTCACTGCCTAGGGCCTCTTCACAGTGTCGGAACCGGCACTGGGAACCCTAAAAGAAATAAAAGGCAAAGCAGTAGTTTAATGTTAGTGTTTAATGACAAAATGTGGCTAATCAATTAAAGGAATTAGTGTGTAAAATTAGAATCACAAAAATAAACACTATCAATATAGGGCTGCACTAAATTTTAGAAAATCTGGCTTTAGTGAGAAAAAGACAAGAAAATATAATGATTAAATAATACAATGTGCCACGAGTTGCTCACAAAATGCTGCCTTTTGAATCCAGTTAACCCACAGAATTCACTAAAAGCAGAGACATAAGCGTAGTGATTTCCTTGATCACAATACAGTGACAGAGCAACTTTATTTCTCTTTCTGAAGAAAGCCAAGCAAGTATCTAAGAATCATTAATCCCATTTGGCTTGTGAAGATAGTTTCTATCAACTAAGCCTTTTGCTAGCTCATCTGCTTTCTTAGTCTGTGGAGATACTATGAACTGTGTTTATATGGAAAAGATAAATGGAGATTAAAATTTGTGCTACTGTAAAATCTGAAATAAATTCTACATCCTACATATACTGTCATTGGTCTATAAAGGTAAACAGCTGACTAATACATTTACACAAGCATTTTTATGTACCAACCAAAGTAGATATGGATTATGTCCACAGGATGCTATTTATCTTTTAATTCTATATTCTTCTGCACAAATATTCACAGTTGGAAAAGCTACAGGCCACTGTCTCATAGACAGCTGAGTAACAAACAATCAAAGTGTTCCACCATGTGCCTCCCACTTTGGCTGTTCTTATCTTTTATCTCCTTTCTATTTCTCTTCTCTTCCTTTTCCCTTTAAAAGTGGACCTTTGTACTCTCAAAGTAGTGGGCAGCAAGTGTGAAGTATGGCAAACTGATATTTGACTCCCTGGCTTTTCCACTTGTCCAGTGACAAAGCTAACAGTCAACTCATCCTCTCTTTCAGTTTCTTCATTAAAATAAAATAAAATTTTAAAAAATTCTCCTCTCACAGAGGGTCGTAAAAACCCTGTGAGGTAAGGTATTATGATTGTTACTTTCTATACTTCCAATCATTTGCTATGAAGTTACTATGCATCAGTCAATATGGTAAGAAATTGAGGACAAACAGAAATAGACAAAACGCTCTGCCAGCCTGCCAAAAGTTTATCTAAAGATAACATGATAAAAGTGGTTTTCATTCTCATGGTCAAAGGAGTTTCAGTCCATTCAGGTTTTTAGCAGAGATGAAAGTTATTAAAGCAGACACAGTTTCTCTCATTAGGCTCATTTGAGGGCAAGAGCAACACGTCCCAACCAGCAAATTGCTACATTCATTTGATTTTATTAAGATCCAATAATTGCAGTTCACTTTTCCCATTTAACTTTACAATCTTTAATTTATATTCAGTTTACTTGCTATGTTACATTACATCTCCTTTTACATGATATTCAATTACTTGGTATTTTTCAGTCTTCTGACAAGAGAAATACAATAACTGTTTGAATTTTAAATAGAAAAAGATATTACACTGTTGATAGTGACCTGAATTCAGTTATTTGAATTTGTATGACTGAAATCACATTAACCAAAATAGTATGCTTTATAATAAAGTACTATTATATAATGGACAGTATTAGGAATTTGATGCCTCAAGAAAGCATAATACAGGCAAAATTGTTACACGAAAATTGGCATGAAACTGGTATCATATAACCAAGATTTCCTCACAGAAATTCAGTATATCAAAAATACATGAATTTTTACTTCAGATTTTAAGTATCATTTTTATTGTATTTTCCTTCATTCTAAGAAAAAGTTTAAGAACATGTACTCTAAGTTGTACAATATTTACCTTTATGCATGTGGAATTTAAAAAGAAATAGCAGTCATTCCCAACTTCTGCCATTTTCAATCTCTTGCTGCTAACCCAATGACTGTTTTTTACAAATATATACAAAATTCAGGAATGTAAATATAAGAACTATCAGTGTGGGAGGGGGGAATGTTTCTTTTCCACAGTCTTTCAGGCTATCAGTAGTATTCCTTTAAAGCTGACCTCCTGTTGACAGTATATTACACAACAGATAATTTTTAAATAAATTTAAATTAGAAGATACCTTCTCTAGCTTTGCAGAAATGTTGAAAGTGGTTACTGGTAAGCGCACAAACTCAAACTTCCAGAATGTTCCTCATTGTTACCTAATCCATTGTTTGCTCATCATAAATGACCTCATCTATAACTGTAGACTATGCCACCTGAGTGGATGGATATTTTCCTTATCCAACATCAATTCAGTATACAAACATTATTGTAAATGTTAACAGTGTATTTCATCTCTCAGTTCTGATTAAATAAGGTACATAAATTAGTTTATATTTTCAAAATTAAAAGTGATATTTCATAAGAAAATAGCTACCCCTACACATAGTTTGGAAACAGAACTAAGGTAAATATGCTAAACATTTTTAAAAATAGATACAATTATTTAACTATGTACTTGAGGCTATACATTTACCTAGAATGAAATCATATTCAGATTGTGATGAATACTCAGATGTGTACATGAAAATAAACTGGAATACCTATTCATCCTGTGACTTTACTCCATTTCCTTTCGTCATAAAAGGAGGAATAGCTTCTTCTGATAGCAGAGTTCCAGCGTGCTTGAAAACTTGGAGAATTTGTTGAAAACAACGTGAAGTCCTCTTATTTCCAGAAAACATTTCAATGAGCAGTTGTTAAAGTCTTCATCCTAGTATCCCTACTATAAGAATTAGAATCTAGCAAAAATGAACAAGAGTACTCATCATAGGTAACTTAGAAGTTGGCATGGAGATGAATGAGCACCCTAGACCAAAATGTGCTTTTAAACTGCAATGTGCTTTTCATCAGAAACAAATGATAAGGCAAATATACATTTCCACTTTAACAGGCAATATCACTTTTAGGTTATACTTCTTGGTAGACTTCCTCTAGATGAATTCCCTCGCTGCCTGTGAGGTTTCTAGACTGTTCAAATACTTATTAAACACTATTAGTACAGAATTAAATGATTTTACATGGGGAAATAAAAAATGCCTTTACTTTTTGAAATTTGATGTGAGCAGACGACTTTCCATTAGACATGGCAAAATCAGGTCAAATTCACAAGGGCACGGGATTTTTTTTTTTTTAATTTTCATAGTACATTGTATGTGTACTTAGTCTTTAGAGTATCAGGTGTCTGAACTTTTCCCTTCTTAGGTTTTCCTTTTCCTGTCACTTATTTTTACTTTTTATTTCCACTTCACTTTTTGTTGTGAATTTCATTTTATTTTATGGAAAGCTATGATTCTACCTCCTCCAGAGGACTTTTACTTCCTGTAATGAAAGGTAATGGGACATTTGTCTTCATTGCTGAGTACAGGCCTGTAAATTTTGTGCTTTCCAAGGGAAACTCTCTTCTCTGTGTATGCTAGAACATTAACACATCAGTGAGTGAAGAATCTGTTTATACTCCTGTAGTGTGTCTTTAAGTACAGTGGCCTGTGGCAATTCTTTTTTGACACTTTAGAATTATGACAATCAGGCAAAGCTGATGGCTGCCACCCATCAAAGTTGGGGTACAAGTTTATAACTGCAAATAGATCCCGTGGTACTCTCCTGCTCTGGGGTCTTGTGTTCTGCTAGAAGCTTTGCTCCAGGCATTGAAGTAACTAACCAGTGCTTCCAGAGGGATGACAAGAGCAAGTGGAATGCTTCTGGGGGATTATCTTTTCTGAGAAATGACAGAATGTTCGATCTAGAATATTCTGTGGCAGTTTGGGAAATGACAGTTGAGAGCTGTAGGTAATGGCATTTGTCTTAGGAACATGAGACAAGCTGCTTTTTAGGATTCCTCTGAAGGGTCAATGAAGTTACTGAATTTTGACTTAAAAATGCTAAGTTTCTAGTCCCGGTATCACAGTCTGCATCGTTTTTTCTTATTTTTGCTTCATTTTATAAGACTTCTGTGGGTATGTTGTCCTATGAAAAAATTAGGTTAAGAGAAACACTTTGAAATGACTAATCTCTTTCGCCATCCTTCCCCTCTGAATCCAGCAATCACAAAACAGTAAACTTGTTTTTGTGTATACTTTATTCTTTCAGAGTCCCCTGATCAGAGATACCTTCAAGTGAGATGAGTTGTTTTTCCAAAGATTCCCTATGACTTCAGGCTGAGGACTATTGGCTTCAGAGACAGGCCTTCTATGATATAATATTTCAGGTTTATCTCATTTAATCATATTTTACTATTTACCATCTAATATTATTTTACAATAAGCCAGGTGAGGCTGTTTTTAGCTCTGAAGTTGGAACTCATCTTTAAGATTCCCACGAAAAACTTGACAATATTATAGCTGTTGCTATTCCTATAGTTTTGGATTTGTCTTATGGCTAAATTCACTCCACTGGAAAGGACATCCGAATCGTTACTGTGTGGTGATTAACTTTTTTTTTTTTTTTTTTTTTTATCTCGGATCTGTTCATTGTAGCATATTTTTCTAGTGTTCTTTCTAGGAAATTAGTTTAATCGGTTTTTCTTCCTGGGAATCAGGGAATGTAAGTTAATTCTAAACTTTTCCAGGGTTTCCAATCCCCTGAATTTCTTAGAGAACGAAAACATAAGTTATGTTAGAAAGGTACTAAATTGAGGCCCAAAGTGATTCATCACTTACAAGTTGATATTAATTTCCTTAAATGTCATCGTTACTAAGTAGTGTCCAAGTACATACACCCGAGTAACGGATCTTTGTTTTTTCTAGGTCATCCTAACCCAGGAAAAAACACGCCCGCGGACGCACGCGCCCAGGAGCTACACAGCTGCACTACAACTCCCAGAATGCACTGCGACTAGCCCGGTCGCTTCCGGACTTGGGTCCCCGCCCCTCGCTGGACTGTGCCTTGGCAGCTTGGTAGCCGTCCGTGGGTGCGAAGGTTTTGCGGTTAACGCCGGCTGCTGCGGGTCTTCGTCTGCCGCGAATCCGCGCCGTGAGGTCGCGCTGCGCGTGACCACCATGAGCCGCCTGGGCTCGGTACAGCGGAAGATGCCGTGCGTATTTGTGACGGAGGTGAAAGCTGAGCCCTCCGCCAAGCGGGAGCATCAGGTACCGGGCGGGAGGGCTGCTGGGCAGCTCCTTCCCCAGGGTGGGTCCCGCGCGGCTCTGAGGCTGGGAGCCTTGCAGATTTTACCGGGCGGTTTCGGTGAAGTTCCCGGTGTGCTCTGAGCTCCAGATTCTTGCACCTTCTTAGTTCTGAGGAGTTTGCGAAAGATTTTTCTTTTCCTGATCAGGTGATTCAAACTTGCTCTCCCAGGTCTGAAAGCACACGTCGTAATTAATGCCTTTTTTCTCAGGTTAGCACCTTTGAGTGAAAAACCTGAGTGGTCATATATCGGGGCAGTCTAACCTGAAACGACTGTTTGAAAAGTGTGATGTGGAAGCAGAGATGAGAAGGCATGGTTTACCTGTTGTGTCCTAGAACCCTCGACTCTTGACAGCTAGCCTAACTAGGTCATTGAAGATCAGACTATGCACTACTCGCAGTAATTGCCTGCTTGCTTCTAACTTTGGAGTTCCCGTCTTCAGGTTTTTTCAGTCGTTCCGCTATGCGTTGTACACAGCGTTCATTTGTTGAATTACAGGATCCTAGAAATCTTTTTGCGGGTTTTCCATCAACCTTTATGTTTCCTTACGTTTAACTTCTTGTTCTTTTCATAATCCTTCCTACTGCAACCAATGTAATTACCCCTCATTTCATAGAACTACCTAGTTGGGTTTATTTGTCCCCAGAATAAGTACCATTTCCTAGTAAAACCCCACGATTACTACTCAATGTCCCTATTGCCAGCTATTAGAAAAGAATAATAAACCTAATATGCAACATTGTTATCTTTGAATGATAGTGAATGTTGGGGGTGGGGAGTAATCTTAAAAAAGCACTCTATACTAGGCAAAATAAACTTATCTCTCTGCAGTTAAGAAAATCTTACAGCAGTATTTACACCATAGAATACAAATTCTTAATTATGATCCAAATTCTCTCATTAATTAGGTTCAGCCTATTTTATAACCATCTCAATGTGGATTCCTTGTTTTGCCAAATCTTTAGTGTCTTGGGTATTAATATTTTTCTCAAGCTAACTACTCTGCTTGAATTGCCTCCAGAGTGTTTTTCAAATTCATATAACTGTTCATTAGCTTAGTCATCCTAGTGATCATTTTTATCCAGACATTGTAGAGGACCACCCAGTTGCCCTTCCTCACTTATTTTTTTTTAATTTTTTCTGTTTTTATTTTATGTGTATGAGTGTATTACCTGTATGTCTGTAAGTGCGCCCCTGTTTGCAATGCCCATGGAGGTCAGAAGAGGGCGTTGGATCTCCTGGAACTGGAGTTAAACACAGTTGTTAACCTCCATATGGTTGCTGGGAACTGAACCCGGGTCCTCTGCAAGAGCAGCCAGTGCTCTTAACGGCTGAGCCATCTTTCCAGCCCCTTCCTCACCTATTCTTAAACACACAGGCCTTGCTTTTGCAGTAGTAAAGTGTTTGATGACAGGTAAAAGGGAACTTTTTTTCAGTATTGTGTCATGTTGCGGAGTACTGATACTTATGGAAGGAACACTACCCTCATCAAGAACTCCACAGGTGGGGCTGGAGAGATGGTTCAGCACTTAAAAGCACTTGCTACTCTTGCATAGGACCCGGTTTCAGTTTCTGGCACTGACATGGCAGCTCACAACTATTTATATAACTCCAGTTCAAGGGAATCCATATCCTTTTCTGGCCTCTGTGGGCACCAGGCACACATGCAAAACACATACATACATGTAGGCAAAACACATAAATAAAATATTTTTAAAAAGAGCTCCATGGGCATAGTAATCCTCACAACTGGAAGAAGTTATTGTTGACAAGGAACCTTCGGAGTTTAATTTGCCTATTTAAGCAGGCGATATATTTTCAAGGAGAACTTGTTCAACTTCCTAAATTTCTGCCTGCAAGAACTGAATCAAGAATAAACTCCAGGGAATTAAGATGCCCGTTTTGTTGGTGAAGTGTGTGTGTGCGCACGCATCTGAATGAGCAGAGGTCAATGTTAGGTGTTTTCCTCAGTTGTTCTCCACCTCTTAAAATTACATTTGTTGGTGTGGCAAGGTGCACATGCCAAGGCACACATATGAAAGAAGACAACTTGTGGGTTCCAGGGATTGAACTTGGGTCGTCAGGCATGGTGGTAAGAGCTTTTACCCACGGAAGCATCTCACTGTTCCCTACCTTATGGCTGAGACAGGGGTCTCTAACTGAACACAGAAGTCACTGATTGGCTAGGCTGATTGGCCACTAAGCTCCAGGAATCCTCCTGTCTCTGCATTGGGATTACAGGCAACATGCTGCCATGGCAGGCTTTTCTAATAGGTGTTGGAATCAGAACCAGATCATCATGCTTTCCAAGTGCTTTATCCACTGAGCCATCTCTAGTTCCCAAGATGGCTTTTATTTGTTTGCTCTACTTTGAATTGAGCCCAGAGCCTTGACCATGCTAGGCAAGTGCTCTCCCACGGAGCAGTGTTTTTGTTTTTCATGAAGTTAAGAAGAACAAGCACGAAGAGACATCCAGAAAGCATTTTGATAACTTCTTGTTTATATAAGCTTTCTATAATAGGCATGTGAACTTCAGCTTTACAAGAAGCTAAAAAAAAAAAAAAACTTAAAAAACTAAAAAGGTAAACCTTCAGATTCATCGTTGTGTCTGTTTCCTGAAAGTGTGGCCTGAGACAGAAGACATCACCAGACTCTCACTAAGACTTAACCAAGAACCAAGCATGATTTGAAAAAAAGAACAACTGTACATATAAAAAGTCTTTGTAAGAGGAGTAAGGTCTCATTATTGAATAGATTTACCCTTGGAATACTGAGAATTATGATTGGTAAATACATGTGTTGACCTACCAGAAACACCCTATGGAATTAGCTTAGCATGTATGTGTTCTAGTTTTACCTGCTCTTAGCTCCAAACACAATGACTGACACAATGAGAGACGGCTCAGCAGTTAAGAGCACTGGCTGTTCTTACAGAGGACCCCAGTTCTGTTCCCAGCCCTTACATGGCAGCTCAGTAACTCCAGTTCCAGGGGATCTGATGCCTTCTTCTGGCCTTCCAGGGCTCTTGCATACATGTGGTACATATAAACTCATATAGGCACATAATGTACACTAAGTACAAAGGGGATGAGCTGAGTGTGCTGGGACAAGAGGGGAATCCAGCACTGAGGAGGCTAAAGCAGGAGGATCATGAGTTCAAGGCCAGCTTGGGCTACAGAGAAACCTTGTCTTAAAAACTCAAAAAGCAAGCTGCAAGTGATTGAGGAGAATGTCACAGAATAAATACTTTTAAAATTTCTTGTGGAATAGAAAAATCCTTTAGAACTAATGAAATTAGGAACATTTCAGGAGAACATGTGTGTCAAGGCAGAGGCTGTTAATCTTAAACCTGTTTTCTCTCTTTTAGCCATTTAAAGTTTTGGCAACTGAAACGCTAAGTGACAAGGCATTAGATGCAGATGTATACAATGCAATTGCAACAGAAAAAGTGGATGGAACATGCTGCTATGTTACTACTTATAAAGGTAAAATACAATTATATTTACTAAAAGTATTATCTAGATCATTTTTATAAACTTTGTACATCTGAAATTGGTATTTTCTCTTCAGAAACTCTTGAAACTTTAATTATAGTAGTACAGTAAATAGGTCATGATGGTTATATTTGTTTTTTCTCTTCGGGGAAGAAAGAAAGATGACTGACATTAAGTTAATGCCTACTAAAAGCCAGGCAGATAAATGTGTCTTACCTATTATCCCTCATTTGCACAATAAACCATAATTTTCCAAGACTGTGTGGTTATGAATGAATGGCTGAACTCCTGAAATGGAACCTGGGTTTGTCCACAGCTGTCACTGCACCATCCCAGTGCTTTTATTACCTTTGGCTATGTCTCTGATTAATTTCATTCTCATGTACTTTAAAAGAGAAGTTCAAACACAAATTGTTGGCAATATTGAGGGGGAAAGTACCTTGAAAAGAAATATTGTTTGTAATTACTAATGGTTCCAGCAACAAAAATAGGTAAACAAGCCCTGGACATAGTCCTTGTGTTACCAAGAAATCTGTTCTGAAATACACTTAAGAAAACCTTCAACTGATTAAAATATACATAAAAGTTTTCCCATCTTAACCTTATTTTAAGATGGTATGTAATTCAATGGTTTTCAGTACATTCTTATGTTTACACCATCACCACCATCCATCTCCAGAATGCATCATCTTACAGAACTAACTGTGCCCCCAGGACCCTCCTCATTCATCTCCTCACAGAACCTCTCCCTAGGTTCCTGTATCGAATTCTACTTTTTCAAAAAATACTTGTCTTTTTCTGACTAGCTTACTTTAGTTCAGTGCTTATCTGTATCTGCATGTATCAGGCTGCATTCAATTTTAAGACTGCTTAATGTTACATTGTATGTATAAAGTATACTGTGTTTATCCATTTGGTCACCAATGGGCTTTGGATTGTTCCTACATTTTTGCTGTTGTGGTTAATGCTGCAATGAATAATGGTAAATCAGTCTCCTGAGGTCCTGCTTCCAGTATTGGGGGGGGGCAGTGTGAACCAGCATGAATGACTAGATCATATGATAATTATAATTTTTTTGAGGTCTCATGAGACATTTTCCATAGTGTTTGCACTAGAGGATCCAGGACACAGAGGCTCCAGTTTCTCCATATCCTCATTACTCAACTTCCATTATTATTTTTTTCTGGTGATAGCAGCCATCCTAATGATTTAAGTGAAATGCATTTTTTTAGGTTTACCAGTAAACTACAAAAATTCACCCAGAAACTACAAAATATATTTTAAATCAGGTTCTTTATATTATGTATATTGTAGCTAGTAAGTAACACAGAGATTCTGAACCAAAGTAAAATTAGTAATTTTTATGAACCTTTGATTTTATATATTTGAGGAAATAAGAGATTTTTCAGGCTCTCATATTAAGAAGCTTTAGTGTGCATCAATATGAGTGATGTACATGACAGTAACAGTTAAACCAGGTTGGCGCTAACTGTTCAAGAATGTTCATGTTCTTAGGGAGCCGAGTGCGGTGCACATTTTTAATCACAGCACACAGGAGGAAGGCAGAGGCAGGTCAGCCTGGTCTTCATAGTGAGTTCCAGGCCAGCTGGGGCTACAGGAAGACCCTGTCTCAAAAAAATAAAGAATGCTCACGTGGCAAAGCCAAAGATGACAATGTTTCCATATCCCCATTTTGATAAATACATAACATAGCAAGGATATCAGAAATAAGACTATCACAAAACCAGATGAAATCTGTATTATGTCCTACTTCTAGACACAATAGGACTTTTTCTCAGATCAGTGGCCACTGATGTGTACAGGTAACAATTTCCGATTTGGGGACTCCAAAATTGAGTCTTAGAGCTGGGGATTTTTCTCTTCTTGCTGGTCATGTAGGCATCTTCCAGCTAAGTAACCACTCACAACGAGTCCTCCAGGAGTCTTAATGAGACCAGGTGCAATTCATGAGTTTGACTGTTAACAACAAAGAATGTTGGCACAAACCTAGACTCCCCAGATCCAAGATTACAAAAGCAACACCTGTCATCTGCCTGTTTTATTATTTGACTCGTCAGAGCCATGCCAAACAGGTCTGTCTCTTTCCAGATCTGCCAGAAGTAACCTGCGTATTAACCCTGTGCAATGTTCAGGGCATGTATAAACACAATGACCTGGTTCTCATTTGGGGAATTTAGAAATAGGATCATTCAATATTATCAAAGAAGGATTTTTTTTTTTTTTTGGTCTTTTTGAGACAGGGTCTCCCTGTAGTCTCAGCTGTCCTGGAACTCACTATGTAGACCAGGCTGGCCTTAAACTCATAAACTCAGAGATCTGCCAGCCTCTGCCTCCCAAGTGCTGGGATTAAAGGCATGCACCACCACGCCCAGGCAAAGAAGGATTTTTATCTCATCCTCTTCATTGTTTAACAAAAGAAGTGCATCGGCTGGAGAGATGGCTCAGCAGTTAAGAGCACTGGCTGTTCTTGCAGAAGAACCTGGTTTGAATCCCAGCACCCACATGACATCTTACAAACATCTGTAACTCCAGTTCCAGGGAACTTGATACCCTCTTATGTCTTCCACAGGCAGTGCACGACATGAGTGAACTTACATACATGCAGGCATAACATTCATACATAATAAATTTTTTTTAAGTTAAAAAAAGTCTTTGAAAAAGCATGTCTCCTCACAGATAGGGGTTGAATCAGTGTTGTGGGTTTTGGGTTGCCTAAGCCTCTTGTCTTTTCAGGTTGCTGCTTTTCTTACACAATTATCTTTCAGGATAAGTTTTATTTATTTTTTGTCCTTGTGTTATCACATTTTTAGGTCAGCCATACCTTTGGGCTCGACTAGATAGAAAACCTAACAAACAAGCTGACAAAAGATTTAAAAAATTTCTACATTCAAAAGAAAACTCAAAAGGTTAGTCGGTTTTTCTTTAAACTTTTCATGTTTAAATAGTTGAAATTTGTGGTCTTTTGCTAGGGTATTTCTATATATTCTGCTTGAATATCCATTTTGGCAAAAAAGAAAACTGAGTATTTATATATAAAAGAATATTATCTTGAAAAGGATTTTAAAATATTTTTCTAATATTTCTGTAACTTCTTTATATACATACAATATTATAATAAGAGATTTTCATTTGGTTTGCATGAGAAAAAGTTTCAAAACTCAAGTACAAATCTCAAAGGATAATTGGTATCTTTAATTACTGTATCGCTGGTATCGCTGTCTCTCCATATTACACACATGTATCCATTATCTATTTACATTCACTCTTATATATAGTGATGTACTGAAAATTTATAATATTAATACCCTAACTTTTTATAGTTGCATGCTAGCGATAATAGAGACTATCAGTATATGAAATAGATGTTTTATTTGGACTTCCACTTTGAATCTGTTTAGTAAGTTTGTGTTTCTTAAAGTAACACCATTAATAAGATTACCTGACTCCTTTCAGAATTTCTTTGGAATATTGAGGAAGATTTCAAACCTATTCCAGAGTGTTGGATAGCAGCGAAGGAAGCAGAGCAGCACAATGGGCATCCAGTACCTGATGAAAATGGACACATTCCTGGTATCAGATATCTACTCTCACATGCTGTTGTGTTGAATAGTATAAAGAACAAAAGGTCTGGCCAGACACTAGCTTTAATCTAGTTCTTCGTTTTATTGATATTTATAGTGTAAAATTTAGAATCAAGCTTACTGAAAGTCTTAACAGTTTGGACTTTCATAAAATGGGTATATTTTTATCAGCTCTCATCTGTGACAGAAGATGGGGACCCTAGTGTTGAATGGGCTTGCATTCCATTAATTTAGAGACATTTTTTGTTTTTTTTCTGAAGATAATATAGAGATACAACAAAACTAAATTTAAATTTTGGAAACAGACCTATGGTAAATGTGGAATAAGCTTCACTAGAGCCTAGCAGATTGTCAAAGAAGTTACTACATTTACCAGAGAATTAAAGGCCAAAATTTTGGTCACAGGAACATTTTTTCTGCAGTGAATTCTCCATATTGAGGAGGCTTATTTTAGTAATACGAGTAGGAAGGAATAACAGTAAGTAGGAAATTGATAAATTGTTCAGTGTGATCAGAGCAACAAGGAACACTTACTGTGTTTATCTATTGTCTCTGACACTGTCTTAGAATGATTCTCAGTTGTTACTGATCCAAGGTGAGCTATATAGGAAGAATAGGTTGGTGGCAAGGTAATTCTACTAAAGAATAACCAAATGAATCATTTTTAATATAAAAAAAGAGTAATAAAACTGTTAACTTTTCCATGATTTTTTTTCCCCCTTTAAAAGACAGGACCTTTCTGGGCATGGTAGCACATGCCTCTTTAGTCCCAGCACTTGGGAGCAGAGGCAGGCGGATCTCTGTGCGTTCAAGGCCAGCCTGGTCTACACCCAAGTGCTAGGCCATCTGGGGCTATAGGGAGATCCTGTCTCAAAAAGACAGAGAGAAAGAGAGAGAAAGAGAGAGGAGAAAGAGACAGAGAGAGAGCCTTTAGCCCTGGCAGGCCTGGAACTCACTATGTAGGCCACAGTGGTCTTAAACTCATGGGTCTGCCTACCTTTGCCTCCAGAGAGATGGGATGAAAGGCATATGTTGCCACATCAGACTTATTTTAAGTGTCTGCATGATAGGATATCTAGAAAATATGGAATATTTGTAACAAAAATTAAAATTGCCTATAATTTCAATCCAAATAGAACCCATGTGATAAAAATATTTTTTTTCTTTAACTAATAGGTTGGGTACCAGTTGAGAGAACCAGCAAACAGTATTGCTGGCATTCTTCTGTAGTTAACTATGAACTTGGAATTGCCCTGGTACTGAGGCACCATCCTGATGATCCAGGACTTTTAGAAATTAGTTCGGTGCCACTGTCAGAGCTTTTAGAGCAAACTTTGGAGCTCATAGGAACAAATATCAATGGAAATCCATATGGTAAGTGAAAACATTTTATAAAGAGAACTTCCTCAGTTCAACTTAAAAGACACATACACACTAAAGAAATAACATGTTTGTTTCCTAAGACCACATCCATTTCTGTAAGTCTTATGTTCATGGGCAAATTTATGTATGACTAGCCATTTTGATTTATTAATGCAAAAGGCTGACCTTATCTTATCATTCTTCCCTGTAATAGCATTAACAACTAGGCATGAAAGTGATCACTGAGATGCAACTTTCCATTGCTTTATGAATTTTAGTTGAGTTAGTTAGGTGAAAATATACTGTTTCCTGCTAGGTAATTACTTTACATTAATGAAAATAGGGGAGAGTAAGAATTGGCAGAAGATGCTGTGTACAGCATGAGACTATATACCATAATGAACTGAATACATGTGGAGATTATTGGAGTCCAGTGTTGACAGAATGGTAACATTGACCAAAAGACACTAAAGCTGTAATAACAAACCTGTAGAGATCTTTCAAGGGTTAGGGAAATGGCTCTGTCTATAAAGTTCAGATCCCTAGCATCCATGTTAAAAGCCGGGGCACAGTGGTGCATACCTATAGTACCAGAACTGATTGGCAGAGATAGGAGGATCCCTGGGGTTTGCAGGGTAGCCAGTGTAGCCTAACCATTGAGCTCCAGGTTCATGAGAGACTATGTTTCAAAAACTAAGGTGGAAAGCAATTGAGGAAGACACCCAATAGGACTTCTGGCCTCTACACATGTTTGCACAAATATGCACATGCCTCCACTCCACACAATTATGTATACACACATACACACAATTTTTATTAAGTAGACTGACTGACAGGTATAAAACTTACATACAGCTGGGTATGTTGGTATACACCTTTAGTCCCAGCACTTGGGAGGTAGAGGCAGGCAGATCTCTCTTGAGTTTGAGGTCAGCCTGGTCTACTGAGTTCCAGGCCAGCTAGGGCTACAGGGAGACCTTGTCTCACAAAAAAAAAAAAATAAATAAAAAAAATAAATAAAAAAAAAACCAAACACCTTTACATAAAGAACCAAAGATATGTGCAGCTATTTGGCAAATGTTGAATGATAACTGAATGTGGCATGTGGCTAATGATGTAGAATAAGTTGGTAGATTTTTTTTGTGCAAAACGTTGATGGCAGATATTTTAATCTTTGTTAACCCATGCCTTTGAAATAGGCTATTGGTAGTACTTCCGTGAATGGGTAAGTCTGCATTTCATTGAAACTACTTAGAAAAACAGATGTCTATCTGGACTTGGTGTATAGGTCAGCATGCCAACTCCTGGTGTGGAGTGTACACGAAGGTGTTAGATTTACTGGAAGAAGCATCACACGAGTGAGGACAGGACATACTGCATATGGGATTACAGTCTCTTCAAAAAACCAACTAAACTTTTTGTTTATGTTATGTTTAAAATGATGTTTTGAAATTTGGTGAGGTACATTTTCTCATACTTCCCGAAGAGTTCTTTTGAAAGAACAAGGCTAATGGGAACTTTACCATTTAAGGGCTAGGAAGCAAGAAGTATCCACTACATTTTCTTATACCACATGGAGCATTTCAAGTAAGAAATCTGCCTGCACTGAAACACAATGACCTGTTGTCCTGGTTTGAAGGCTGCAGAGAGGGCAAAATTGAAGGGATTGTATGGCATTGCGGTGATGGCTGTTTAATTAAGGTAATGACAAAAAATATGTTGAATTATGTTCTTAAAGAAGTAGCATCATATTCTCTGTACAAATTGTATCAGTTCTGATATGCAGTTAGTAAGTATAATTCCCTTATTTCATATGCTAAACAGAAGCAAATTTATTGGAAATTTATGTCTACACCATAAGTCATGGTCTGTTTGGTTGAGCATTGGTTAAACCAGATGTGCTTCAGAATTAAAATGGTAATATGTCTCCCCTCTTGGGTATTCATGTGGCATATTAATGTTCTCTGAGACATTTTGTGCCTAGTTTAACTCAGTACGTTCCACACTAACTTATGGAATTCATTGCGTAAAAAAGTACCAAGCAGTTTTATACAGAATACATAATCTCACACTTTGTGTCTTTCTGTCGCCAGGACTTGTCTATTTGATTTCTCATAGGTTTATGAAAGTCAGTGTTCAAAACTGAACTAATCTTATCACTCCCAACTCCACATTATTCACTCAAATTAAAAACTTGTATTCATTATTTTTAAGCCCTCTTCCATTACTTCATGTATCTAGTTATCAATTCTTAAAGAGTCTAATCTATAGCTGCTAATTTTAATGTAATACTTTTTATAGAGAGACACAGACAAGGCACCTAGAACAGACCAAAGAAAGGATTTCACCCAAATCCAGCTTAGTGAACCAGTGAGTTTACTGGGGTTTCTAGAGGAGAATAGGTCAAGGTATATTCACAGAAGCATGGATGGCTCAAAGGCAGCTGCATCACTGAGAAGCCCAGCCCAGCATGAGTTGGTGGTTCACAAAAGCTATATCCTGGGAACTTCCTGAACAAACTGCAGACAGCTTGGGCAGTGGGAAGACAGTCTCCTCTCTCCAGCAGTTGTTAGTGCTTGTCGAACCTCTGGGAGAGCATTGTGAATCTTGTCAATTTTAGGAGTTTCCTGAGACTTGTGAGGTCTGTTTACTTCCTGAGTGTAAAGAGTCTCACTCTATGAGAGGCTTTAGTTCAGAGGATATAGCTACATAGCAGTGTCCTAACCACATGTAAATAACTAGAATCCAACACTGCCCTGCTACCCCACCTCTTATCAGATCCTTTGGTAACACTAGCTCCCGGCTTACATTTTTCTTTTGTCTCTGTTCAGCAACAGACTCTATATTCATTAAATTTTAGAGCAACACCTGGTTATGTTCCTGGCATGTTCCAGGTACTGGCAGTAGTCAACAATTCCTCTGCCTTCATGATGTTCACATGCTAATGGGGAAGCTAGACAGCAGACAAGTAAATATGTAATATGTCAACAGAACAGCTATAAAAATCTCAAACATAAGAGTAAGATAAAGCAGTGCATTGCCTAGTACCTGGGAGGTAGTAGGCACCCAGAGTAAGCATTTCTAAGCAGATTAAGATGCTACTTATTTGGAGACTTAAGTTAAACCCTTTTTTTCCTCCCTTTAGGTCCATCGCCATCATCTTGGTTTATGCTGGCCACTTCCAGATACTTACATGAATTCCAAACCAGTTATTATTAACATGAACTTGAACAAATATGACTATACTTTTGACAATAAGTGTTTGTTTAATCAGTTTTTTAAAATAGATAAGCAGAAATTTGGTAGGCTCAAAGATATAATATTTGATGTATAAAATGGAAATACAACTGGAATTATTGTTATATTACAATCTTCAGTATTCTGCCTTACTTAAAAAAGGCAAAAATACCTTAAGATTCCTATTTATTGTGAAAATATCAATGTCTTCTAGTGTTCTAAGAAATTTAACTTTCCAGTTCCAAACAAATACCTATTCAAATTTTCACTTAACATCAAAATAATCTTAACCTCTGGAAATAAAAAAATGTAATAAGTTCCCAAGGCTATACAAAGGGTGAATTCTGTCCAGTATAACTGGATGTTAAAGGTAACTAAACCAACAATTTTTTATCATTTATTTTCAAAATAGTTTAAGCTGTCTTTAATCTTGCCCACTATTTAACAAAATATATGTCATAACGTCTAAATGTGTATATAGCTATGTATCTGTATACATAGTTAGGATTATAATATCTTAACACAATATAAGTATGTAAGTATATGTAAAATTTCTATTTTAAATGTTTAAATTGTCAAAAGTTTATCCTCATGCTTTTAAAATTTGGTATTACAAAGATAAACTAATCATAGCTCATTACTGTATAATCATAACTTAAGTCTTCAAAAATATACTTTTTATACTATGTTAAAAATTAAATATTTTATTTACTAAAGCTTCCAGTTTAAGCAAAAATACAATATTTTGAGATGTAAAGGCTATAGTCCAGAGACTTTCTTGATTTCCACCTGAAACTTTAACTTGTAAAATATTTACTATAGTTAAATATGTCCTTTAATAGATAGGGAAATTATTAGAACTTTCACCATCTTCAAACTCTTCAGAAGCAGCAACAGGGCTAGTTAATTCAAGTCCAAACTGTTCAGAAAGTTTTTTTAACTTCTCTTCTAGTAGAATATTTTTTTTCACTTCTTCCTTATAATTGTACTTCAGATCTTCAATTTCTTCAAAAAATGAAGGATCAAAATTTTCCAGTTCTTTTTTCAGCTTCTTAATTTCGTCCTAAAAGTCACACAAAGGAATACAAGGTATTGGCATGACATTTAAGACATTTGATTCTAAAAATGAAAGCTAGAAATAATTTGAATAGCAAAATATAATGACAAATACTTTTATTTTTGTTACTAAGGTTCCATTGTATGATATAAATTACTTAGTAGTTGCCATTTCCAATTGCCTTCTATAATAGTCTTCCTAATCTTTGACTAGAATTTATTAATGCTTAGATTATGGGGAGGTTGATTCTCTAAACCACATCAGAAACTCTCAATTAGGCAAGCAAGCAAAAGGGACTTTGCTTTTTTCAACACTGAAGTTATTAGCATTAAGATTTCTTGGTTATGGAATCATCAGTATTTTCTTTAAAAAACATTAATTTTAATAAATAAGTGGTTAAGTTTATAATAGTATTCACAGTCATGGAAATTCTGAGACTTCTTTTTCACTAAGTTAAACATCTAAAAGGATTTGAGCTGCCATGGCTGTTGACACTACCCAGGGATCAGCAAATGCTCATTTCCAGGCCCTTGTGTTGTATTTCTACAATCTGAAAAGAGGTAAAACATAGAAATGTTTTAAGTACTTTTAAGGAAAGATTCCTGACAACTGTTCCAAAGGTACTTAGAAGACACTGTTCCCAATATGACTCACAAATTAAGAAAATATTTTTAGAAACTGTAAAGGGGAAAAAAAAAAACTGTAAAGGGGTATATTTGTTACAATTTAAAAATAAATTTACTCTCTATTCCTATTTGTCTGTACTTTTTGCTATCTGTTGTTTAATAGATATTTACCATGGGCGAACTTAATAAATTTAATAATATTAAGATAAAATATTTTAAGTATAAAAAGCCATGAACTTTTATGGCACATGCTTAAAGATAGTGATCATAAAAATTGTTTTCCACAGTTGTTTTCACAAAACACTGACTATACTAAAATTGGATATAAACAAGTCATTACCTTCAAATGCTGCTTTTCTAGATCTGACATTCTGAGTTGTGTCTCTAGGTCATTTATCTTCTCCTTTAGTTGATCGGCACCTGTCAGATAGTTATAAAAATACCTAGATTTCACATAGGAAGAAAACATGCAATATTTTTCATTCTTAGACTGGCTTATTTCCCTTAACATGATAATCTCTAGTTCTACTTCCCTACGAATAATGTTCTTGATAGCTGAATAAAACTCTGTTGTGAATATGTAGCACATTTTCTTTATCCATTTGTTGATGGACATCTAGACTGATTGCATAATTTGGCTATTGTGACTAGTGTCCCAGTATACATGAATGTGCAGGCATCTCTTTCTGTTGATTCAGTTAGAGAGCTACTAGGTATTCCAGACTAGTCATGAGACAATGCAGGAAGAGAATATTATGTATAGCATCTTCTAAAAGTTATTTAAATGTTCTCATCTTTAAATTGTGATTTAGAACTTCCAAAACAGGTTGTTTTTTGAGGCAGGGTAATCTCTAAAAATGTGAAAGGTATGTTTATCCTGTTCCCATAAGCCATAAGCAGTATGAGGGCTTGGGTTTAGAAAAATTAGACAGCTTGCCTAATGTCAACAGAAGTACTGATAAGCACACGCACCAAGTTGGCACTTATCAGAGATACATCTGTTCTACAGAGGTAAGTGTTAGTCACCAAAAGACATGGTAGCACTGTGGTTAAGAGCTTGGTATGGTGAACTGCTTTGATGTTTACAGAATTAAATTTTATCTTGCCCATGCCACTTCCTAGCTGCCATAATCATGAGGACAGGTTACTAATCTTTTTCTCACAAATAAAATGAAGACAATAGTACTCATCATGTAATTTTAACAATAAAGTAAAATTCTTATAAAGCCTTTAGCGTAGTGCTTGGCACAAGTCATATTATGGCTTTAATACAAAGCAGCACCAGGACCACATGGTAGCTCTACAAAGCACGTACAGATTACTTAGCTATAAAGTGGTATAATTCTGTAGGGTAGAACTTGACACTTTATCAAAGGATCAAAAGATGGCATGATTAGGTTAGGTTTATCATAGCTATGATACTAGAAACTTTGGAACTATATGCTTTATAAATGCCCATCAAAAGGTAAACTGCTCACTGGTATCCATAATGTACTATGGAATTTAATTTTTTTTTTTTTTACTTTATGTGTATGAGTGTTTTGCCTGCATTTATGTTAGTGCAGTACATGTGTGTAGTACTCACAGATACCAGACAGTGTCAGGTTCCTTGGAAATGGAATTATGGGTGTTAGCCACCATGCCATGTGGATGCCTAGAACTGAACCTAGATCCTCTGCAAGACCAACCAGTGCTTTTAACCACTGAGCCAACTCTCCAGCCCCACCATGGAATTACTAAAAACATGAATGATGTACGTATCTCAAGTCTAAGAGAAGCTGTTAAAGGCAATAAAATAAGCCAGAAATAATAATATGCATCCAGAAAAGTTACATGCAAATACATATACTTCAAATTGTCATCTTAAGTTCTAAAAATAACTCATCCTGATAGATTATACTTTTTTAGTTTTTAAAAGAGAAAAAAAGATTCAAAAGTGTTAAGTGACTTTCCTGAGGTTGTACCATTAAGAGATGTCCTATGCAGGGCTGAAGAGATGGCTCAGAGGTTAAGAACACTGACTGTTCTTGCAGAAGACCCGGGTTCGAATCCCAGCACCCACACAGCAGCTAACAACTGTCAGTAACTCCAGTTCCAGGGGATCTGACAGCCTCTTCTGTCCTCTGTGGGCATTGCATGACACAGGTGCACTTACCTACATGCAGGCATAACACTCATATACATAAAAAATAAATTTTTAAATTAAAATAAAAAAAGAGATGTCCCGTGCTAGGATTCAAACTCTGACTGGCCCCAAAGTCAGAGCTCCTTGCTGTAGTAGCACCCATTGCCTACATCATAGAGGATCCTATGAAAACAAGGATCCTTGTTGGACCTAAGGCAGGACATGTAGGATTATTAAATTTTTCACTGTGCTTGTTGCAGAAGCACTATGTGTTGATTGGGGGATGAGAAATACATTATGATATCTAAATTTGCAAATACATGTCTGCAAATAATGAAGTTCTATTTTATATTGTACACACACATATATAAAATCATCTTATATATAATCATGTATGATACAGGGGAATGACTAATGATAACTTCTGATGAATGGAAATAAAGAAATTTTTTATTTTATATTGGACAAAAATCATATTGTAGTATTTATAGTTTTAAAATTAATAGCATCATGAACAGTCAGTAACATTTAGAAGTAAATGTTCATAGGGACTGAAAGGATCTATACTTAGAAATTGGAAGGAAAAGGATTAGTATTTATTGCTTGGTAATATACCATGATTAAATCTATAACACCTAGAAAGAACACAAGAAGAAAACCTTAATTTACTTAGTAGTATAAGCAACTCAGAGTTAAATGGGAATATTTTCATAGCACAGAGATCATAGCTCTAAAACATCATATTAGGGATTTGATATAGGAAGATGATCAAAAATGTGAATATACAAAAAAGGCAAGCTCTAAATTAAAAACTTTGGACAGCTAACAGGTTTTTTAAAATACATTACCAGGTACAGTGCTTTCAGCTTCACTTTGGTCCTTGCTTGCTTCTATCTGATGGATTAATTCTGCCTTTTCTTTAACCAGCTGATTATTGGCTAATCTAGAATACAATGATAGCATATTTAAAAACATAAACAATGGGCACTGCTCTGTAAAATACATAGCCATTTCATACAAAATAGTGATGTGTAGTACTCAAAATATGTAACATTTACCAAGGTAAACACAGCTAGTTATGGGGGTGCTTGCTGGTAGGTAGATCATCAAGGTAAATATTCTCTAGGCTATAATGCTGCCAATTCCTGAACACCACAGAATGAAAGTATTCTTATTTTTCTTAATATCTGACCTCATGTCATTTTTAAGAGTTTTCCTACAAAAAGTACCCAATAAAAGTAGGCTGCAGAAACTTCTAGAAGTATAGAATTACTTTTCTCTTTCATTAGTAATTGCTTCTAGGATGCTGAGATTTAATGTCTTCTCTGCTGTTAAGAAATTTTCAATTAAATTCCAATCTGGAAACATGGGGGTTAGGTTTCCTCATTCTTCTGTGTCTAGATAGTGACTGCATTAAAAGGATGAACTAATAACTAACCAATTGTGAAAAGCTCTAGTCTTTAGCTGTAGCAGACCTGCTTGTATAAAGTAATACATTTTTTTTACTTTTAAAAATATTTTTTTATTTTGTGTATGAGTTTACTGCCTGCATGTGTGTAGTACACCCTTATTGCACAGTGCCCATGGAGATCAGAAGAGAATGTCAGATTCTCCTGGAACTGGAGTTACAGATGGTTGTTTGCCACCATGTGTGCTGGGAATCGTACCCGGGTTTTCTACAAGAGCAGTCAGTGCTCTTAACCGCAGAGCCAAGTAATACATTTTTAAAAGAAAGAAAACAAAAGGGCTGGCAAAATGGTTCAGTGGGTAAGGGTGTTTGCTGCAAAGCCTAACACCTCAGCTCAGTCCCCAGAAGGAGAGAAGCAGCTCCTACAAGCTGTCCTCTGACCCCTACCTGTAAATCATGGCAGACAAACACCACCCCCCAACACAAAAATAAAAATGTTAAAAAATCATTTTAAAAAGTACTTAAATGAGTATATAACATACCTAAGGACTTGAAGCTCCCGTAAAAGCCCTTGCTGTGTCTCCGCACCTTCAGAAACACGTTTGAGGATCTCAATCTTTGAGCATGATGAAAAATTAAAAGATAAAAGTTTAGTGAGGAAATAGGTTTTCAAGAGACAAGTTTTTTAAAAGTATAATACTAAGATTTGGATTTTCAGAAGCATGAAGTAATCACATTTGCCGTAATCTACTCATTTAGTCAAGCCAGGCAGGTCCTAGTAGAGGGACTATGGTAGAGTGAAACATCTAGAATCCCTACAGGACCATTACATTTTTACTGAGGGAAGACAAGCAGTGATACTGTAATATGATGGGATGGGATGTGATGGCGCCAGATGTATAGAAAGGGCTATCATGAAAAAGAATCCAGGGCAGGGCAGATAGGCATTTTGGTATAGAGTCAGGATTAGTGGAGGTCTTTCTGAGGAACCTCCATTTAAGCAGAGATATGAAGTTCTGAGAATATGAAGATATGAGAATATTAGGTGAATAGTGTTCTAAACAAAGGAGGGAAGTATACAGATTTGAAGCTTAAATGAGTTTGGTTTGTGCAAAGGTTTGAAGGGTTAATGTGGTAAAACACTGAATGATAAGCAAACTGGCAGAACATGCTGTGTCAGACCACTGACACAGATATAGAAGAGCTATTCCAAAGTTTCATCTAGGGTGATGGAGAACCATTAGAAAATTCTTTTTTGTATATTATGTATGCAATTTATTTTGATCATACTCATACCCTTACTCATTCTTATCCACATTACACTCCCACTGAATCCCTTTTTTTTTTCTTTTTTAACTTTTTATTGAATTTCTTTTGTGTATTTCATACGGAACATCTCAAACAATCTTAATCATCTTTATAACCCCGTCCCCACTGGAACCCTCCCATACCCTCCCCCCCCCGCCATCACTGGAGCCCATATACTCTGTCATCTCTGTTAAGACCCACTGAGTTGTCAGTGTCCCCAACCATTCCCCAGTGCAAGTCCATCCACTGAGTCCAGTCAGCCTATCTAGAGTCCCTTGTTTTAGGAAGACCAGCTCTTCATCTAGCAGCAATCAGTTGCCAGGATTCCTTCAGGTAAGACTGGGGTCTGCTGTTCATTTTCCCAGATCTACGCTGGGTTATTGTCTGTTTGAGTTTGCGTATGATCTGTGTATGCTGATACCATTGCCATAGAATCATATGAGCTTAGAACTGCTATAATTTGCTGCTTTACAGGATTATTTGACAACTGCGTGAATAGACTAGTGATGGGGGAAGGTGAAATGATGCAAACGAAAGTCAAGAGACTAGTTAGGAAATCACTGCAGTCATTCAGATGAGATAATGGCTTCCACAAGCATGTAGTGGTAGAGACACCAAGTCAGGTGTAGAGACAGATAATGAAATAGGATAATCCAGTTTTAAGTAAGTGGATAATAGGGGCACCCATTTCAGTGGATGAGTCTCCTAGAGAGAAACTCAAGAGCTCATTTTTTTCTTCACCTTCAGACAATTCAACAACTGAATTATCTGAAGATATACTGCATTATTTTGTCATTTAAAGAAAAAGTATTACATGCCTGTTGTTCAAGGCCTTCGGTATATTGCTTAGCTTTCTGTTCTTTCTCTGTTGCTTCTCTTACAAGCTGTTTAAGGTCAGTAATACTTTGATTCTTTCTGGTAATATCAGCTTCTAATTCTTTCAACTTGGTTTCATACATTCTAAAAATATAAAGAAAAATTATTATATATACTTTCTCATGAATTTAAAAATCAATTTAAATTATTACAGTAAACTATGCATGAATATATTGTAGTATTTTAGTCAAACCTTAGCTACCTATTTATTTAGCACTAAAAATGGCAGCAAAAGATAACTACCCCTAATTAAAAGATGAATTAACTCGAATAGAAGACGTGCTCCTTAGAGTATGAAGATGAAGACTGAATTTGGCAAATGTGAAGATCTTAAATTGATATCCGATTTCAGATATAAGAAAATATGAAATTTATCAGAATATGAAATCTTCCTCAATTCTCTTCCCTAACCCAGGAGATGTCTAGGTAGAAAAAGCCCAAAGGGACACTGCAGAAATGGGGAAAAAGTTATTCAAGTACTTTGTAACCATGATGGAAATAATCAGCAGCTTAAAAAAAAAATCTATACTTCAAAAGAAATCTTCAAAAATTTGAGCCAAATAGTTTAAGAGGCACATCATACTTAATGACATATTTACCATATTCAAACTTGTTCAAAGGAAAATAATAAGCAATGTCTTCTAGGTAAATTAAAAGGATAGTATTGTTTTAGAAAAAAAACAAACCATCTAACAAGGACAATATAAGGAAGGAAAGTTATGAAGACATAAATTCATTCAAACAGCTTTGGACAAATGTTAAGATTAGAAGGGAGTGTGAACTTGCAAAGACTAATAACCAAAGATCTATCAAGGATTAATGTGATTACCAGAAGCTCATTCCTTCATTGCATCCATTTCTGTTCAAAATCCAGACAAGACCAAAGAAAGACATTCTTGATGTCATTACCTATCTAAAATGGCCCACACATCACCCTGGATTATCCTAGCAGGCAGTTTGGGTGATACACTAAGCAGATGGAAGGCCAAGGAGGTAAGATCATGAATTTGAGATCAGCCCTGGGTAAATAGCAAGACTGTCTTTAAAACAAAACAAGTTTCCACTTGGACTTATGTCATCTTCATGATGGTTTGCTGAGGGTGTTGTCTATGTGCAGTTCTCAGATTAAAAATTCACAAATGATTTAAAATGTAATAAAGTCATCTTCAATTATGGTTGTGGCATCATCAACCCACAACTGTCTTAAATCTGAATAGTCTTTTCATATTAATAATCTCTTGTAGCCAAAACTATAGAAAAAGGACAGGGCTAATCATCTCCGTGGATAAAAATAACTTGAGCCCACAGAGGGATGTAATTTAGGCAAGAAGGGATATAATTTAGGCAAGAAGCTGAAGTTGCAGCTATAGACAAAGAGCACATCAGCCCTGGCTCATGGCGGACAGCAGCTTCATGATGCACACCTAGCTTCTGGACATTAGCACAACTTCAGCACCTCTCTGTTCTGTAGGAGTCAAAGACAACTCGCTAACCATTTAAAGAAGAAAGAGTTTTGGTACTGTTAGGTCAGAATGAAAATAGGATATTAATAAACAACCAAACTGTTCATCAGGAAATTAGTTATTCAAAATAGGGTCAAGGTGATGATGCTAGAATTAGAACTGATTAGACTTTGTAGAAGTTTGAAACTATGCAATCCTACCTTGTAACCACAATTGACTTCCAGCTCTTGCTGTCAGCACCTTCCAGCTGTGGCCCTCTACTTTCTGCAAACTGCAATCTCTTACCAGTCTCTTCTAGCTGAACTGCCATCTTCTCATTTAGTATCTCTAAATTGTTCTTAGCTATCCGCAGTTTCTCTGAAGCTTCAGTTTCCTATCATTAAAAAATAATATGACAAACATAATACCATTCTCATAGATATTTTTAAAATTATCACTACAAGTTACAACATAAAAAAAAAACAGCATGGAGCTATAAATGTGGGTTAAAAATGCAAAAAGTGTTTGTTTTCCTCTAAAACAGCAATCTGTTCATAGAAATAAGAACAAAAGATCATGTAAATGAAATCAGAGAAGTGTGTTTATAAGAATTTTACTCTAGTGGTTAGGTTACTTTGAATTTCTTTTTTTTCCCTCAGCAAGATGTTAGAATAATGAAATAGTTAATCTTCCCACAGTTTAAAAGATGCTTTGTTTTGATTCTGAAATATTTAAATGAGACTTCTTTATTAACATAAGCAATGTGTAAGGGACATATTTTCATTGTTAGACATCCATATTCAAGGCAGTATCACTCTTGCGTCACAATACATTCGAGTTACAATTCTAAACAGCTTATAAGATAATAATTTCAATTTAATCACTAGGTAATGGATATTAGAAATAATACTTATTTGTCAGGAGCAAGGACTATATTTTGCCATTTAAACATAAAGGAATCCTAGTGTGTCACAAAATGGTTATGTCCCTTGCTCTATAAATTGGGCACTGCTCTAAGTCATGTGCATAAATATTAACTCACTTAAACTTCACATATATATATTTATTCCTCTCTTCTTTTTTGAGATAGACTCCCTATATAACACAGGCTAGCCACTCCTGCTTCCAGCTTCTGGAAACTGGGATTAAGCATGTAACACTATGCTAGGTATACTTATTTTATTACTTCCAATTTCGATATGAGTAACTTGTTAAGCAGTATGGTATAATTCCCATGACCAAATGCAACAGAACTAAGAACTGAATCCAGAATAAGCAATTTCTACATTATACCACTCCGGTTCTAAATTTACTAATTTGTTTTTTAATTAGCCATGTCCCTCATGATGAAAGCACATATTGATGGCAGACATAAAAGTACAATTCCCAAATTCTCTTAATATCTACTTTGAACAGACACGGGCATTGAGCTGCTACTTTCAATTTTACCACATACCACTTAATGAAGATCAAAGTAATCAGTCATAAAGTCTTACTTTCTTAAGTTCTTTACGAAGCCTTTCGTTTTCAGCAACTATTTTCTCTGTGCCTTTGTTCTTGGATTCATACTGCATACTCAACTGATGTCCACAGTGAGCTTTGAGTTTTTCCAATTCAGCCTGGTAATTAATAAAGCTATATATTATGAAATCAGAATATCAATAAATGATGATCATTTAAATTCACAAAACTCATTTCAAAGTAATTTTAGAAACCATATTCAATATGTTTAGAATTTAAAAAGTCTTCACAAATACCTGTTAGCTAGACAGGAAGTTCCCTTCCAACCTAACTATACATTAAAATAAACTTAGGATTTAAAAGAAATACATGAAAACCTATGGAATCCCTACTTTACACTCAAATCTGTCACAAGGGTAGATCTTGGGCATCCTGTATGTTTAAAAATAAACACAGGTAATTATTCTGTATCACTAGAGAAAGAAAAATCAATCTTGAAACCGTAAGATCAACTGGAGCCACTATTAATCTACCCAAGAAATTTGTTCTGATTATATCAAACATGACTATATCCATTAAAGCCATTTTATCAGTGTGAGTATATTTAAAATTTCCCTTAAAGTTAAGGAAAATTAAAGGAGTAAAATATACATGTAAAAATGATCACACTGAAAGCAAGGTGTGATGTCACATACCTTTGATCCCAGAACTTAGGAGGCAGAGGCAGGCATATCTTGAGTTTGAGGCCAGTCTAGTCTACATAGCAAAGTTCCAGGCTAGCCCAGGTAACATAGCAAAAGCATTGCTCAAAACAAAATGAAAGTCACATAAAATAGTACCTTTAACCTTTCATTCTCTTCTTCAATATTAGCCATTTTCTCACTGGTCAGTGTTCCTGATGCTTTTTTCAGCTGTTCATTTTCTCTCTGGACTTTTTCAACTACTTTTTTCATTAACCCAATGGTTTTTTCTAGTTCTGGAATTGTCTTTCCACTTCTACCAGACTACAAGAGAATATGCAAATTTTTCAAATCAAATATTTTGGAGAAGATGAACAGGTAGGTCTATTCCTATACTCATTTATAGCTGCTAATATCTGACCCTAAATTTGTGTTAATTTAATACATCTATATAGCAGTCTGGGAGACATGATTATAATTCCCATTCTACACACAAGAAAGCCAGGATTTAAAAGTACTTGATATTCCTTAAATCATACGGTTACCAAAAAACCTGCCCAAATGCCCCAGCTGCGATGTCTGATCCAAATGTATAAATCAAAATAATTTCATGTAACCATTGTCCTTTCCACTATATCAGAATGTTCTTTACATAAAATAAAATCACAAAAGTGAAACTGTGTCTTTAAACAGCTCATGCTAATGATTAATCCTTATAAAGGCAATTTTCACTAATAGCCATTGCTTAGATACTTGAAATGAAAAACCTTGTATAAAGATATCAACAGAGATAATTAACTAAAAAGTTAATAATTTTCAACAATGGAGTAAAATAATGTGCTTCATTCAATTTTTAATTCTGTGAAATGAATAATTCTAAAATTTTTATATAAAATGTCAATATAGAATTTCATTATTAAATAGAAAAGGTCAAAATAACAAGCATTTTCTTTCTCATTTCTTCTTTAATAAAACAAAATCATATCTATTTGTATATTTTCACTTTTGAAAGAAATTCTAAATATTTTTCTATTAATAATCTCTCACAAAATTCATTATGTTGTAGTCTTACTAATGAGTGAAATATTGTATTATTGAGTGCTTTCATTTATGCCACTGAGCAACACATGGAGGCCTACATTTTTGGCCTCCTAAAGAAATATACTCACCCCTCTAACCTGACCAAGTTTCCGCTCAACTTCTGTTTTTCCTTTCTTAAGAAATTCGCACATTTCCTTCAGATCTCTTACTTGATTCTGAAAGATAAATGAAAATGCATAGCAGTATGACATACGCATACTATAGCCACTAAAAATGAAAGTAAAAAATATTCCCAACTAAAAATCTTGACTAGATAACCAAATTTAACTGGGACTTTAAGAGAGATTTTGAAATAAGTATATGTTAAATTAGTTAAAGACTATTGTACATGTAAACACTTAATACACATCCCATACCACTGCCTTAATACATCACAGAAATTGGGCTTACAGCCATGCAAGGTGGTACACGCCTTTAAGTCCCAGCACTCTGGAGGCAGAAGCAGGAGGATCTCTGTGAGATGGCCTGGTTTACATAGTGAGTTCCAGGCCAACTGGGGCTACAGAAAGGCCAAAACAAATTTTGGCTTAGAACTCTGATTTTACTGTCCCATAATGTGCATACATAGATACTTCTGGTACACAAAAAAGAGAGCTGAAAGGATTGCACTGGTAAGTCACAATGAGAAGTATGATGCTTAATTATACAAATCATCCCCAGAGGAGCTCACAGCATGCTAACATGCTTGATTGGAAAATAGAACTGAAACGAATAGCCAAGAGAAAAATGATTCTCATAAGTAGAGTAAGATAAAATCAAAGATAAAAAGTTATTGACATCAGAATTAAGTATACATTTAAGAAACACTTATATTGGTCCTGGATAGATGGCTCAGCAAGGACCTGGGTTTGATTCCCAAAACCCATATGGTGGCTAACTCCAGTTCTAGGGAATACTATGCCCTCTTCTGACCTCTGTGGGCATTGAACAATACAGGTACACTTACACTTAAATACATTAAGGAAATACACTCACACATATAAAATAAAAATAATTAAAAAAAGCATTTTCAGTTGTCAAAATTGCCAATGAGCAGAAGAAATATCCTCCTATGTCAGGACATTTGAACTTGATACTTCTGTTGTCTGGAATTCTGCCTTAGTATTTCTATGGCCTACTTCCTTATTTCTCTACCAGCTCTTAAAAGCAAGCCCTCTGTCATTACTGTACTTTAAATCATACCCTTCTCCTCCCCTTTATACCAAACAGTAACTTGTTTGCTTATTTATTGGCAGTCTCCCCTTCTGGAAGTTAATACGTTTTATTAGCACTTGGATTTTAATGACTGTAATACCTCAACACCTAAAAGAGTGTTTGATACAGAGTAGATACTCAATAAACAATTGTTAAATGAGGAAATGGATAAAATAAAGCATCACAGTACGATATTATGACTATGCATCTTAGAAACTAATGTAAGTAAAGGTAACTGGCAGGCAAGACTCAGGCGATAATCAAGAACATTCCATTTACCTTTAGTCTTGGTAAATCTTTATTGGCTTGTTCTAGCTGGAACTTCAGCTCAATGTTTTCTGATGACAGTTTCAAGTTTTCCTTCTGAAGTTCCTGCTCTTTTTGACGTCGATCATCTGACTCTATTTCTGTAGTCTTCCAGAAAATGAAATTTAGAATATATTTAAAGTTTAATAAGATCCACAAAGACATACAGAGTAAGGACACACTGTCAGAAGGGAACCTTCTCAAAAGAATACAAAAAAAATTGTAAGCTCTAAAGAGAACCAAAATGATATGTTAGGATATAAAATTTGTAGAAAAGGGGCTGGAGAGATAGCTTAGTGGTTAAGAACACTGTACTTGCAGAAGACCAGGGTTCAAATCCCAGCACCCACACTGCAGCTAACAACTGTCCATAACTTCAGTTCCAGGGGATCCAACAGACTCTTCTGTTCTCTGTGGGCACTGCACAATATGGGTGCACTTACCTACATGCAGGCAATACATGCATACACATAAAATGAAAATAGTATCTTTAAAAAACTTATAGAAAAGATTTATATAATTTAATTAAAACAGAAAGCAAAGTATAGCTTAATCACCTGTATATACAATGCATTCACATATACTCCCATAATGTTGTAAGTATACTAGTTTTGTTAATAAAAGTTATTTGTTTTTAATATTTTATTCTTTCTATTTTACATGTATGAGTGTATTGCCTGCATGTGTGTAAGTGTAGCCATGTTGTGCAATGCCCTCAGAGGTCAGAAGAGGGCATCTGATTGCCCTGGAACTGGAGTTTCAGATAGTTGTTAGCTGCCATGTGGATGTTGGGAATCAAACCCCAATCCTCTGCAAAAGCAAGGCATATCCTTAACCGCTGAGCCATCTCTGCTGCCACAGGTTATCTAATGTTGTGGACTGAACTGTCTCTGTCCACTCCCTAATCTCTAAGGTAAGAATTCATAATTCCCATTATCTCAGAATGTGAACTTATTTGCTGATAGTCTTTGCAGAAGTAATCAAGTTAAAAGGCGATCACGAGGGTAAACCCTAACCGAGGAGGAAAGGAAGACTGGTTGCTATGAAAGGAAGAAATTTGAACACAGAGACATGCATTGTGGGAAGATGATATTAAAAGATTTTATTTACACTATACTTTTTTTTTTTTGAGCCAGGGTCTCACTATGTAGCGCTCATTGGCCTAAGAAAAATCTGCTTGTCCCTGCATTCCAAATGTGAGGATTTAAAGGCATGCACCACCATGCCTGGTCCTACACTATACTTTTAGGTAAAGAAACATATACACACATTTTCTTAGATTAACTGTAGAGAAAAGTACCATCTAAAAGCAAGATTTATCCTTTTCCTCAAAGTCTTCAGAATGAATCAACCGTATATCATCTTGCCTTTGGGCACCTAAATTTGAGAACCGTGAGACAAATTTCTGCTGTTTAGGCCACCATATCTGTAGTACAACTGTCCTTCATTTGTCAGTGGACAGTGGTTCCAGAACATCTTCCCAACCTCTGAAGATAGCAAAATCTGTAGGTGTTCAAGTCCCTTAAGTAAAATGGCATGTGTGTATATATATAACCTAAGTTTATTTTCCATATACATTAAATACAAGATTAATGTATTAATGATGAACTCTTATCTTTTTAAGTTTTTCTTAACTTGCCGACAAAACCAGCCCTTCAGAGAGAGTTCTGGAAGCAATACAAAGAGCTGAAGAAAGGAACGACTATGACCAAGGAGTTTCAGAAAGAAATTCAATGAAGGTATAACTGTGGAAAAGTACAGCTATATCAAGAATATAAACAGAAATAAAAAATAAAAAAAATTCAATACTCATCTTTCATTAATAACTTTAAATATTAGTGGACTGAACTCCCCAGTCAAAAGACACAGACTAGGTGAATGGATTAAGAAACAAAACCCATCTTTTTGTTGTCTGCAAGAAACTCATCTCACTTTCAAGGACAGACACTATCTTAAAGTGAAAGGATGGAAAAAAATACACCAAGCAAATGATACTAAGAAAAAAGCAGGCGTAACAATTCTACTGTCTGACAAAATAACTTTAAACTAAAACTAAACAGAAGAGATAAAGAGGGCCACTTCATTCTGATCAAAGAAGCAATAAATCAAGAAGATATTACAATCATGAACATATATTCACCAAACTCTGGGGCAACCAATTTCATAAAAACAATACTACAGGCAGGACGTTAAGACCCAGATTAATCCCAACTCATTAATAGTAGGGGACTTCAATGCCCCACTGTCTCCATTAGATACATCAACAGGGCAGAGTTAACAGAGAGACATCTGAATTAAAAAATACCATATATCAAATGGACTTAACAGATATCTACCAAGTATTCCACCCAAGCATCAAAGGGCATACTTTCTACTCAGCAACACATGGAACCCTCTCCACAATCGACCATATACTGGGGCATAAAACCTCAACAAATACAAAAAGATTGAAATAATTCCATGCATTCTATTAGACCAAAATGCAATAATGCTTAAAATCAACACCGGAAGAAGTCCTAGTCACCACATGAACAAATGGAGATTAAACAACACACTCCTGAATGATGAATGGGTTAAAAGAGAAATTAAGAAACAAATAAAAGTATTCCTGGAACTAAATGAAAAGGACAATACAACACAACCAAACCTCTGGGACACCTGAAAGTGGTCCTTAGAGGGCAGGTTATAGCTCTAAGTGCCC